GCCATGGCTCCGTCCTCCGCGGCCGGGTCCGCCCCTCGGTCGGCCTCCCCGGCGGCGTCCCTCCGCGGGCCGCTCGCTCCCCTCCTGCGGCGCTTGAGCTCCTTCTCCTCCACCACGGTCACCAGCCGGCCCGGGAGCTTGCGCAGCACCTTGGCCGAGGGCGACCCCTCCTGCAGGCTGTTCAGCACCTCTCCGTCCGCCGACACCCGCTTGCGGGGAGAGCGGGCCGGCGCCTGTGGCAGCGGCGGCGAGCCCGGGGGCGAGGAGCCGGGGGAGGGCAAGGGGGAGGCGGGCGGGGGCTGGGGAGGTGGGGTGCCCAGTTCTGCAGCGCGATGTCCAGGGCTGCTGCTTTGCCCTGCCTCGTCCGCATTGCTGTAGACAAGGGATCCGGGCAACATGGCGGCAGCCGTCCCACAGGAATCAAGCCGCTCGCTCTTCACAGGCGAGCCGGGGGCTGACCCCCCTTCCCTAGTGGAGACGGGCTGCTCCAGCGCCCTGTCTGCTCTGGGCTGCGGGGCGGCATGAGGCTCTGGCTCTTCATGGAGTGGGGCAGGGGGGCTGTGGGGGCCGCCCCCCCTTTGCGAAGGAGGCGGGGGCTCGGAGGAGGGTACGGGGGTGGCCGGAGGGGAGAGTGGGGCCGTCCTCTCGGTCTCGCCACAGGGAGACGTGGGGGCGGCAGAAGGCACTGAGAGGGGGGAGACCTGGGGCTGGGGGTCCCTGGGGGCCTGGCAGGCGGCTGGCTGGGGTGGGGAGGAAGGGCCCGGGGAAGGGAGGCCTCCTCCTCCTCCCTCTGGCTGCCCAACGCCTGCGTCGGGCAAAAGGTTGTTCTGGGGAGAAGGCGGCGCCGGCTCGGCTGGCTCGGGCAGCTGATGGGCTTCGGGGGTGGCGAGGCGGGTGAGTGGCGGTGGCGAAGGGAGGTGGAGCTCGTCTTTGGTGTCTCCCTGCAGAGCCAGGCCGGCAGGCTCAGGCACGTCTCTGTGCTGCGGGGTGCTGTCCTCCTCGGGGGCGGGAACCAGCGGAGCCTGAACTGGAGCCGGAGCCGGAGTCGGAGTCGGATTCGGATTAGCCGAAGCCGAAGCCAGGGTCTGAGCCGGAGCAGGTGCCGGAGCCGGAGCCGGAGTCGGATTCGGATTAGCCGAAGCCGAAGCCAGGGTCGGAGCCAGAGACGGAGCCGGAGCGGAAACACATGCAGTGCTCGCCTCCTGCACTGGCATGTTGTCCTCGGTCCGGGCCCCTGCCTCAGGCTCCGGTCGAGCCAGGGTGGTAGGAAGGACGTCGATCCGAGGCTGTGGAGGGGAGTCTCCCGTCACCTCCCCCGGACTCCGGGCGGGGGCGGGGGGAAGTTCGTCTGCCCCCTCCGCCGCAGGGGTTCGAGGCCTCAGCCTCCCGCTGGCCCGGGTGCAGAGGGCGCTCTTCTCCTTGGTCTTGCGGGCCCGGCGGTGCGGGGCGTCCTCGGGCAGGGCGCGGGGCGCAGACGGGGCCTCGTCGTCCGAGGGCAGCTTGAACGCCTCCTCCTTGGCCTGGTCCAGGCCCTTGCGGGCGGCTTCCACCTGCTCCTGCGGACACGGAGAGGAGAAGGAGGGCGTCAGGCACAAGAGCTCCAGCGTCAGGGGCTCTGGACACAAGCTGTTTCTTAACCCCTCGAATCCCCCTTGCAAATATTTCACAGACAAAACTCTGAAAACCCGACCACCGTCACGCTGGCATTAGTTGAACCCTTGTGAACCCCTTCTGGCACCAGCACAACGCCCTAAGCAGCTTCCAGGGAACCAGGCGACAAAGATTGTGGTCACAACCTGATCGGATTACCACCTCGCTGATTATCACCGGAGCCCCAGGCCACAGCACAAGGAAAACGCACCCCGATCGAACTCTAAGCATCTCTCGGTCCAGAGACTGGCAGACAAAGCCAAGAGGCGAAGAAGGCGTCCTGAGAGCCTTCTTCACACCTAACCGGTTGCGTCTCCGGGGTCTGTAAGTACTCCTCATCACTGCTCTTCTGGACTGTGAGGCGGTGAAACAACCGAGACAACACCCACCCCTGAAAGCAACGTTTCAACTCCATCACTAAGCTGGCTGCCTGCACGCGAAGAAGCCAAACCACTGCTCACCTCAGAGACCCCCGGGAACATTTAGATATGGCAGTTCCTGATCCGCGTCGGGTTACCCCAGCCCGGCCCTCAAGGGTTTTGAAAACGGGGCGCAATCGTGTCTGTTCTCCCCGAGAGAGGAATTCAGACAAACCCACAGCGTCTGCTGAAATGTCCACAGTGTGGCAGTCCAAAATCTCAGCCCAGTCTAAAATCTTCCAGCAGGCTCTGGGATAAGTAGACCAGTTGGCGCATCCTCGGACCACGCGCACCCCAGGAGGAGAGCTGCCATGCCTTCACAGATCGAGACCGATCCAAACTCAAGGAAGGCACCAGCACCGCATGGCTGTACACCATCAGCCCTGCCGCGTCAATGTGGACAGTCGCTAGGCTGCGCTGCAGGTTCAGTTTCATATTCATCGATAACACCAAGGAAGAGCGTCTGAACGCCACGGCCAGCGGCGTAAACAGCGACGCTGCGTTGGGACCGGCCCACCCCAGAAACCACACGTGGGTGTAAGGACAGAAGCAACGTCCCTTTAGAGAGGACACCTTGCACACAAAAAAAAACACCAACTGCTCTGCTAGCCCCTTGCAAAGAGGAAAACACCGATTCAGACCGAGCCTAGCGGCCACTTCTGCAGAATGAGGGCCCCAACCTTGTTAGTTGCCATCTTTTGCTACCTCGCTCTGGACCACACGCAGGAGATCCAGCAAACACAGGTCTGGAATATTTTTTTTATACCACAGGAACTGCTCCTCAGCAGGGCAGAGACCTTGTCGTCCCTCCCTGTTAATATGAACCCAAGGCCACTGCTTAATAAGTAGCTGCCCAGAACCCTTCTCTCAGGGCGCGGCTCAAATACAAGCGGTGCGCACGAGTGCAGCTCAGTGGGAGAGCTTGTGAGAAAAGAAGGCAGTTACCTCGGCCTGTTTCAGCTCCTCCTTGCAGACGTCTTCCAGTGAGGCCTCCAGGAAGTTCATTGCATAGCGCTCTATTGGAGTCAGCTGTGAGAGAAACAGAGAGGGGTTCATACAGACACACTGACTGACTGGAGACTCCAGTACATTAACACTGCACTGAGAGAGAGGGGTTCATACAGACACACTGACTGGAGACTCCAGTACATTAACACTGCACTGAGAGAGAGGGGTT